TATATTTTTTAACACTTGGTTTCCTTAAAAGACATTTAAATAGAATGCATATGATTTCCAGATTCCTTTCGATTATTATATATTCATATATTCTTATTAGATTGATTTCTGTGTGAATCGCTCAGTTTTTGTCTGCATTGTGCTGACTCATATCACTCATATCTGCGCCTTCTCTTAATTTATTATGCATCTTTTTCTTTAAATGAGTCCTCACAGCCACAGAAATGAATCTGATTGCCGGTGCTGATGACATAGGGTGCCGGTACAAATGGCGTGTCCGTATCCGTGTCCGTGCAGGCTGGACAGACGAAGTCGGCGGTATTAAAGTAAATAATTGCACTCCCTATATGTCCATATACTCTGTACAAGCACAAGAGCTTGTGGGCAACGAACACGATGGGAAAGAATACTAGAGCGCAAGTAAATAGGCCAAGCCAATATCCGTTCTACAATCGATAAAAATAGACTTACATAAATCGATGGAGAAATTAACAATGGAGAATACTCTAGTCGGATCCGACTAGAAAATACCCTGACTGTGAAACTAATTATCGACTTTAATCAAAATTAATGAAATGTGTTTGAAATATCTTATTTTAGGAATAGCTAGATGAAAAGGGATTGACTCAGCTTGTTGTCCTTTTCAAGAATGTAGGGAAAGAAGAATAATTAAATTTTTTGTTAGCTCCAGAGCAACTTACAATGGGATCGACCAGATAAGGGCAGAGATTGTTAAAGGAGCGCTTATAGATCTGGGCCAAGGGCACACAACGGCCAATGATATATTTACAATCTTCGCTGACATATTGCACATATTTATCGAACGCTTTATTGAGATATTCGTAAAATTCTTGTATCAATGCATTTATGTACTCAGTGCCCCGTGTATGCAGGAAATCTTCGGCCTCTCTTATCTCTTCAATTAGAAGTAAGATCGAGTTATTAAAGTCGTCGTACCTCGTTATAAGCTCGTCAATCGTAGTCGTATCCTTCCAGATGTGATTTATCAAATCATGGATTGGCCGTTGTAGGGATGCGATTTGATTTATGTCGTAGCTCAATAGGCACATATTGTTAATGGTGGCATTCATTCGATACTGATAGGCGAGCGAATGTTTAGCACCATATAGAAATTTCTTTGAAAACTCCTGTAAATAAACCGTACACTTGATCAGATCAACCTGTGATAATTTGTGGCACAACACTTTTCGGATCGATAGACCATTATAATCCGATAAATTCCCGTAGCGCATGTGATTGAGCGTAATTTTCTGCTCTTCTGTTAAGATTACAAGCTTGGTTAAGTCATCCCTAAACTCTTCTATATATTCTGGTGTTATACTGTCCGACATTTCCTTCCTTAGATTATTTACATCATATAAGCCCGCAACACGAAGAAGATCAAAGATGCTTTCATGTGCACGACATATAGCTTGATTCTTGTTGAATGTATGATTCACATGAGTATTGAAAAGGTTATATATCTCCAAAGCTGTTTGCGGTGTACATACAGCATGGTACATGATTAAGCCCATTATAGAATAGAACAAACAGACTAGTAGAAGAAGTGACGAAATCAATGATATCAAAACCATGGCCCTGAATATGAAAGAATATGGTGATAAAGAAAGAAAGATAGACAAGGATGCAAATAGAACGAAAGAGACAGCGAATACTTAATTATTTACTACTCACAGTAATAAGCATTTGGATCCCGAATTATCTCTACGTACACACCATCCGCAAATAAGTGCAGCAATCAAGATAATCGTAATCTAAAAGTAAGAAAATAAAAAAATATAATTATATACATATGTGTAATTCGGTAGATACCTTTTTAATATTAATTTTAAACTAAACCAATTTCTTATTTAAAATTTTAAAGCAAGAATACTGAAGTCAATAGTGCTTGAATAGGTATGTATATTAGAAAAATATTTAAATTCACAAATATATTTGTAGTTTTCGAGATTGATTGATATATTACTTTTTATAGACGGGCATACAGGCAATATTTCAAACTACCAGCTCCTAAAAGCGCTAAGGTCAATGCATTTATATTTTACACAGGGCTAGCTAAGCCTAAATTGAGATTTTCAATGGCTTGACGCCCCTTAGAATACACATATATCGTTTCTTACCGTTAATATTGATACACACAATGATATGCTAATGAGTTTACGATCACTTCCATAGCTTTGTTCGAGCTCGTGAAAGCTTTTTGACATATGTGAATGTTGGCTATATATATCATTGAATATCGATCGTATTAATCCTTGCAAGTGAGTGACATTTTGCCTGTAAATCTCGCTCAATTTTGCAAGCTTCATAGAAATCATTGGGAGCTGATCATGCATATTTTCCCTTATCATTTCGCCAATTACTTGATAATTGTATATTCCTTGCCTTGGTATATGTAACAAATTAGCTCTTATTATATCCTGCAAGCTCTCTATATACTCGCTTATGTTGGGCAACTGTAACGATTGAATAAATTTGTTAAATAACCTCAATTTAAAGTTAATTGACTTAAAGCATACTAAGTCCAGGTGCAGGCACTCTGAGGTGTCCCACTGCAAAATTCCAGAGCTCCGCAGAATATCGTTGCATTGTTGATAGTCACACCACACCGTTAGCAAATAGGTCATTTTACGTCGAACAAAACGGAGTCCTAAATTAAAAATATAATAAGATATCACATAAAAACAAAATAAATAGTTAATACCATCTCTATATTGAGCTATGTAGAATAATAATGTCTCTATATTCTTATCGACACGTTTCATTAAAGCTAACGCCTGGGGCATATTCGAAAGTATTTTCTCTAGCTCGGTTAGAGCATTGAGCCCAGAAGCATTGGTTAGATCCATAAGTATGTGTTTGTCGACATCTGTGAATGAATAAATAGAAAAAGCGATCTAGTGATTAGGTCTGTTCATACTCGCTTACCATTGAGCTGAGCATTTATATGCGTTTCGAACTCCTCAAAGTTGTACAAAAAAATATGATGGATATTATCCAATATATCTTTCAAAAAGGTGCAAATATCTTTACGATCTTCTTGCATATCAGCCCAATTTTGCCGAACGCCTTGATCAATTAACTTATCATTTAGCATTACCACGATTAAACCAAAGCTGTATTTCGCAATTTTAATATAGTTCTTAGTAGGTTTACATGTACAACTTACACCAGAACGACTATAACCAGCACTAGCCCCACGCTCCAAAAGTGACGCACCCGACTATCTGCATATTCATTACACTCGCACACAGTGGGGCAACGGTAGAAGCAAAAGCAAAAATAGGTGATTCTATATGAATATTTTATTATTAGTAAGATAGAATTAGATTAGTTAGATTTTAATTATATTAAAAAGTATAAAT